TAAGGGTCCACAGGTTTCATCAAGGTGTGATTTGTTTGTGTGTTTGTTGATCAGCTGCGAAGACTCTATCCTATCCTTTTACACGGTTCTATTTCCATTTAGTGTCGTAGTGGCTCACTAACTGCGATGTAGACTATTTAACGACGTGTCGAGGCCGGGCGATGCCCTAGCCGGTGTTCTTATCCTCAGACAAACCGGAACCAATTTACTCCCCGAGAGGCCAGGAGGGTTGGTCCATTTAGGCGGAAGCGGAGCCGGAATTCTGCGAATCGTGCGTGTGGTAAGCATGCCACTTGCCATCACACCACCACCGCTTCTAGCTGCACCTAATACGAAGTGTATATCAACATGGAGACAACAGTAACACCTAGCGGTTCATTCAGCAGCGAATGTGGAAGTTCTAGCCAAGATAAGGAACCAAAAAGGATAGAGCTTAGGCAATGTCACAGGCCGTTTCACATGAACATTGTAGGCCAGCAATAACCTAATGACGTGTGCTAGCGTGGCATTCAACAGCTTTTCGAGAACAGCATCGTGTTTTTATTACCTATACGCTAGCCAAAAAGCCCACCTGCTGCGCCCTCGTACAGCCCTAATGTTATCCAATTAAACTATCGCTTTTCCACACCCTGAAACACAGCTGATGAAAGAACCGTGACGACTACATCCCATCCCGAGGATGCCCTATCTCACTTCCACGGCCATCTTCTGTCACGCTAAAATGACCTACGAAAGCGTGTGTGACCAAGGAAGAGGTTTGATGTGATTCAAGGACCATAATTTCTAGGAAATACGCTGGAGAAAAGAGAAATTAAGCCCTCATTCCGCAGTCTGTTTTGTCTGGGAAAAAATTCGAAATCATGTGCTTCAAGGAGAACCTGAACACCCATCTCGGTCGTGCTATGTGCGAGGTGAATGGGTCCGTAACTACAGTAACGTGCCAAGATATCCGCTCAAAAAGCACGGTGGTGATACCAGTGCTTTTCACAATCTGCAGCACTTGCAGGACACCAAGGTCCCCCAGCGAAACATGCATTCAGCAACAGAAAATAATCAGAAAAGAGAGGGCGCACGTAAGTAGCGCATTTAGCTATGATTTGGCGTGCGGCTAGTTTACAGCAGCGGAGGATAGAGGCTGTACCGGTATCACTACCCTCCACTTTGGAAAGTGGATCACCTCTGCGCTACTCATTCTCCTTGGATAATCAAGACTCATGAAGTTCAGCTTACAGTTCATCCCCGAAGAGAAGAAATAAAGTCACTGAGGCAAAGACTGTGCTCGTATGAGCTTTATTGCGCCTTGCAGCAATCATGACTGCAGTGGTTTCTTGTCAAAAACAGTGACTACCCCAGATTTCTTTGGATTTCATAAACTCCCTAATATAGGCCAAACATCCAGTCCTTAAAGGCTGACTCTGATTGTAAGAGGGGAAGAAACGCTTCTCCGACTGAAGCGTTGCTATGTATGTTGTTGCGAATACTATGTTCTGGACGACGGTTATCTTTTCGACTTTACTTGGAAAAGAAAGATCATGACAGTAACACAGCTTGAGCACTCAGAAATAAAAAATTAGGGACAATCAAGGGGATGAGTATTAAAATTCGCGTAAACGCGATCAGAGCCATACATTGTGGTCGGAGCTATCGCTCTCAGAAATTTGGAACAATCCTGAAAATGTTCTAAGAGAACTGTAATTTTCCAAGAGCCTACCACCCCCGTCACCGGTTCGATGGATCTAAATTTGACGGATTCTCGCTTTTACGGACACCCGTCTGATGCGGAAATCACCAGGGAATCTTAGGTGCACCTCTGCGACGGGAGAGGGCGTTTTGCACCTCCGCTGCTTCACTAGTTCCGGTTTACAAGACTGGTGAAACCTGTGATTTCTTTTGGAACTGGAGCGAGCTCATCTAGCCACCATGGTAGGACCCTGAACTCTAGTGAGCTCACGAAATGGCTCTCTAGATAGGTTTACTGGGAAGCAGCCGAAGTGCAAAATGTCCCCCTCCACCCTGTCGCGAAACTGCCATCCAGTTCTTGTAAATAAACGCCATCACTTTCTTATATTCGGTATCCATAACATGTATTCATGACTGGGTTTGACTCATGACACGCGCGGTAGTCTGCAAGGTTTTTGGGCGCTTATAAAATAAATTAAAGAGCTAAACATTACCATCTCAGAATGGTGGATCCACCAAATGAGATGTTGGGTCGTCGATGCATTCGGGCTCTAGAATAAGGAAAGAATAGGGAAGCGCATTGAAACAACCCTCCCTCTGCTGTCAAGGTACAATCAGCGTGAAGCCCAAACAGGCAATTTTCTCCTCAGCGGCGTATGAACCCTGAAATAAATGCCACTTCAAAGTTCCAAAAACGAAAATCTCATATTACTGGTTTTTATGCTGTTATACTTATCAAATAGGTGCCCTGTTACATGGACAAGTCTGGGGAAAAAATTACTTTGTTATGCACAGTTTTTAACGATGGCATGCCATAACATTTTTTTAACACTAAAAAATAATAATGCCTTCACTTTCATATGCCTCGCTGAACTAATAAGAGGTCTCATTGTTAACTTGTTCACATAAAAGCAGAGCTATCCAAGTAACAGCATGTTTCGATATGTGGTCGTGGGTCCTACTGCGCGTACTCGCTGTGATGATGGTGAGTCCTTCACTTCATATGTGCCTGTACCGCCTATCAGTGAACGTACTTCCACAGGTGAACCAATTGGTGCTCGTAGCGCCAAACGCGGCGGGAAACCCGGGAGTACAACAGCCGACGACGACAGATCCACCTACGACGGAGGAACCCTCAACGGAAGAACCAACAACAGAGGAGCCGACGACAACAGAAACGACTACTACGACTGCAGCTCCTCGTTGGTTATCAAAAACTTCTAGACAAAGCTTTGTACAATCCACCTGAAAATTTTGACTTTAAATTTTGCCCCTCACCATCTACAGTCAGTGTAGCTACGAAGCTACGAACCAATTCTCTTATCAAGTTGAACTAGGCTTCCAGGGCCCAGCATCCATTGTATGTCAGGTCAGCGCTCTATATATCGAATCATTACACCTACTTCATTCAACGCTACCAATTCCCATGGGGAAGATGTACACAAGTGCAACAATGCTGCGCCTTAGCAGGGTATCTGCTTGCTGAAGTGAGCAGCGGAGCAATGCCCATACCGCTGCGGAGCGGGGAGCGTTATCGAAGGAGGAGCTCATCAGCCTACTAAGCATTCACCTAGCTATCACCCTAGCATTAGCTATTTTGTGCTAGTTTCAGTCGATATGATTTGATTGCCCAGAGCATTAACTTCAAATGTACGCTTAACTCCTGAGACTCTACCCTGAGCGTTTAGCCTAAATCCTCAAAAGTCTTAGTCAGAACAGTTGGAACAAAAAAAACGACAGTAGGCCCATAGCTTCAAAGGATCTGACCATACCTATCTCTATCGGCAACGCACTGTCCACCTTCACAAAACTTACAGCGTTGCCTGGAGTGTTTTGAATATGAGGTGAAAATTTCGAACGAATCCAGTTTGAGAGTTCATTTTCATATCCCACCAAGAGCAGGTGAGTGTCACTCATTCT